TTAATTTTACACACATTTCGGTCTATCTTCCTTCTACAATCATTATCTGAAAATTAATGACTCAACTTCAAAGTATTTCGCGCTTCTTTTTGTACACGTCTTATGGAAGACAGGCTCACCCCTGTTGCGGCTGAGACACGTTCTCGTACCTAGAATTTACAATAGTATTGCAAAAACCGGATTATACAGACCGAATGAACATAATTATGAAGGCCTTACTTTGTCTATAGGAATAGTCACTCCATCTGTTGCTTCCTTTTGCATGAATTCTAATACAGAGGCTATAATTTCACGACTTTGTTGACTCAGAACCTTGTTTCTAACTTTTCTATTCATCCCGAATCTGGCAGTATAACAACATACATGTACGCGCCTAAAATTTTATTCGGACTATACCCACGATGTGCCGTAGATCGCTGCTGCTTATGAAATGGTGTCTCCACTACTCAATCCGCCGTGTCTACCGCACATCCAATTCTCATATCTCAATGCAGAATAGCCAAACGGTAAGCACATCACGACAGCAAAATGTTACTGGGCCCTACTTTTCATACCTTTCGACATTTCCGATTCATCGACCAGTGCCAATAACAGAACAAAAAAAAAAAGACAATTGCGATCTAACGAATGTGCTCAAATTTTTGGCACAAAATTCATTCGCTTTAATTTTAACAAACACAAAATAATGTCAAGTTGCCTTTGGAAATAAAAGTTTGTTTACTTAGTTTATTTACTGTCAGTTAAAATTTATTTATTTTGAAGTTTTCGCTTTATGATGTCGCATAAATTAGAAATACGAAAAAGTATCTACAGGTCAGAGAGAGATGGGTGAAAAGAGCAAAAAATCAGCGTAGAATGTCAACAAGGAGACTGGCTCGTCCATGCAGATCTTCTAAGAGTACGATATCGTTGGAATTAAGGAGGAAATGTCTCAAATATCGAAAGAGACTTAAGAGCCCGAAATACGAAGGCGCACTCCGTTGTATTCATTATCTTAGATGACGAAAAGTAGTTAAGTTTGAGTAATTCTGAAATGAAGGGAAACGGCGGATCGTTTTTAGTCCAAAGAAAACGATATGTTTCAGTACAATATCTTGATGCAGGGAACAATATGAAAAACTTAGTATCAAGTACGTTAGACATCTCGATTGGAGTCCCCCAGGGCTTTTTTCTTGGACCAATCTTTTCCTCTTATACATTAATCAGTTTGATAATGTTCATCCAGATACCCATTTTACAGCATATGCTGATGACTTTTCTGCCATAATATCAAGTAATTCAAATATAATTTGGAAAATAAATGTAACAACTTAATTAGGATATCAATACATGGTTTAACCAGTACTCACTTTACTTGAATCCTTCCAAAACAACGCTTATTTGTTTTCATCTTGCTCAAAAAACTGTAGAAGAGTTTTAAGTTAGATTGGGTGACGATCAACTCGATTTTAGAGGAGAAGTGAAATTTCTTGGAGTTCATTTTGATTCGAACTTAAATTGGAAGGCCCATTGCGAATTTCTCACATCAAAAATGTACTCTCAAAGCTATGTGTTGAGGCAATTAAAAACCACCTTAATAGCTGAACAATTGATACAAGTTTATTTTGCTAATGTGGATTCGAGATTAAGATATGGAGTATGTTTCTGGGTTGGTCAATGCGCTCTGAAGATGTATTTGTGTCTCAAACAAGATGCATCCGATCATCAGCTGGCATCTCACCAACAGAAAGTTGCATAAATATTTTATAATTTCAACATTTTAACTGTCCCTTCGTTGTATATTATATATATATTAATTGTGCTTACATGTTTTTAAAAATATTGAAAATTCAAGCGGAATTGTGATATGCATAATTATGACAGGTACTTGTAATAATTTATATGTAAGCTTCAGCAAACCAAAAGCGGCATTTCGATCACCTAATAAAAATTGGTCCGCTTCTTCTTAATAATATACCATGCCACATTACCTCGGTTAGAAATATTAACGACTTCAAGTTCCAGTTGAAGCAATTTTGATAAACAAGTGCTTTTATCGTGTTGATGAATTTTTGAACATTGCAGTTTGAGATTAGTTGTAGGTTTGTAGCGAACAAAAAATTGACAATTCCAATAGAATTATATTGTCTGTATGGAAATTAAGGTTATTGATTGATTGATTGATTGATAAAAACATAAAGCGAAATTTACAGATAAGGTCCTTGTCTGGTACGCAGTTTCTGACAGGAGTGTATCCCATCCTTTTGTGGGAAGAGTGAGGGTGAAGCTTTGAATAGTCAGAGCTATATTTATATCTGTCTGTCCAAATTGCTGCAGTTTGTCCACCAATATCATGCTAATGACCATATCGTATTTCGGCCAGACTTAGCATCATGCGATTACTGAAGCGATACCCAAAGCCGGCTACGACAACACAACGATAATCCTTCAAACTTGCCGCAGGCAGAAAATTTTTGGGCTTTACTGTCTAGGAAGGTTTATCATGCAGTCTGGGAGGCCAAAGATGAAGAACAATTGAGACGGCGAATTTACGAAAAACTGAGAGAAATTGATCTGAATTCCGTCCAGGACCTCATTAGAGACATTCGAAGAAAGTTGCGTGTGGCAGAGCAGAATGGGTCACCACATAATTCTATAGTAGATATAGTTTACTTAATAACTATTATGATGTAATTTATGATAACTAGTTAGTGATTATCACACATATCGGCCGGTATCTCACGAATAAATGCTTCAATATTGGCTTCCAGTGCGTCAATCGTTGGTGGTTTATCCCTGTAGACATTAACCTTAACATGGCCCCACAAGAAATAGTCCAACGGCATTAAACCACACGATCTAGGCGGCCCCAAACGTGAGATAAACTGTTCACCGAACTCGCCTCTCAATAGGGCCATTGTTTCGTCTGCGGTGTGGCATGTGGCACCGTCTGGTTGAAACCACATGTCAGCCAAGTCCAGCTCTTCCATTTTGGGCAAAAAAAGTTTGTTATCATCGCACGGTAGCGCTCGAAATTCACAGTTACGTTCCGGCCATTGTCGTCTTTGAAGAAGTACGGCCCGATGATGCCACCGGCCCATAATCCACACCAAAACAGTGTTTTTTTTCGGGATGCATTGGTAGGTCTTGCAATGCTTCTGGCTGGTCTTCACTCCAGATGCGGCAATTTTGCTTGTTAACGTACACATTCAACCAGAAATGAGCTTCGTCGCTGAACACAATTTTTCGATAAAAAGTGGATCTTCCTCAACTTTGCCAGCGCCCATTCACCAAAGGGGTTGTGGGAGGTCGTGTGGCTCAATTCTTTGCACCAGCTGTATCTTATAACGTTTTACACCCAAATCCTGTCCGAAAATTTTCCACCTAGTGGATAAACAGAGGCCCAATTGCTGCGAACGGCCGGCGAATCGACATTCACTAACACTGGTGGATACAGCTGCAATATTTTCTTCAGTCATCACTCTACGTCTGGCGTTGGGTGGTTTAATGTCCATAATGTAAACTGGGTTCGAAATTAGTCACAAGCTTCCGAATAGCTCCCTCAGTAGGCCGACCAAATTGCCCATAAATTGGAAGCAGTGCTCGGTGCACTCTCTTAACCGAGCATGAATGTTGATGGTAAAATTCAATAATTTGCAATTTGCAAGCGTTGTTCGTTCGTAAGTCGATTCATGGTTAAATTATAGACCAACTGAACAAGTTTGACAATGACACAAGACACGATCCACGCGTCATCTGTCAAAAACAGTGTTGCCAAAAAGATGCTAGCAAAAAAATCACCCATTATTTTGTGCCAAAGCTTTTAGGACATACGTTATTTTCATGTCAGATTGCCAATTGATTGGAATGCTACATGATGTAAGTAATGCAAGCTGCCACAATTTACTCAGTCATTCTTTTCTGATTCTGTAGTCCTTACGATGAGAAATTCTGACCAGATATGTGTCTACATTGCAGACAACATTGTCAAGATATAGTCGCTGCGTAACTGATACATCCGACATACGTAGATAGCCGGGCCACAAATATTGCCCCTTCAGATGCCCCATAAGGCAAAGAAAG